CTCTGCGGAACTCCTGTCTGGACGCATCCTCTCCGCCCAGCCGACCGTTTTCCGCACAATCCGGACATTTGGGAGACACGGTGTCTGGCTTCCCACATCGGTAGCAGAACAGTCTGCGTTCTGTTGCTGCGCAGTCACGGAACCCGTGATCCACGGCTCCGTAATTCCAGCAGCCGGCTCGGAACGGATTCTTCGCCCGCACTTCGTCCACTTCGTGCCACGGAGGATCCTCACCAGGATCTGGGCCAATAGCCTCGTTAACCTTGACCTTCTCCGCCGGAGGATACCGCATCGGCTGCGTGTACGTGGTCCGTCCACGTCGTCCAAAACTGCGTTCCACCTCGCAGCACTCTTCCCGCAGTTCATCCACTGTAAGCACATCCATCGCATAGACAAACCTTGCGATGCTCTCCCTCAAGCCCTTTTTAATTATCTTAACCAACTGTCGCTCTGACAGTGGCCTTTTCAGACGGGCCGCTAACTGCTGCATCGCGTGGATGTAATCGCCAACTCCTTCTCCGGGCTGCTGCTCCCCCTGCAGAAGTTGGTGCATCCGGTCGTGCTCCGTCTGGTGGCATCGGAACCTATCCATCACCGAGGCTCGAAGCTGGAACCACCTGTCCACCCTGCAGTGACGCACGTGCACCCAGTACCACTCCCGAGCCCGCCCAGTAAGCAGCAGGGGGAAGTTTCCGAGCACCTCTTGCCACGGGCATTGGCACTGCCGCTGCAAGAACTCCAACCGGAAGAGAAAATCTTCCACCGAGTTTCGTTCATCCTCACCGTCAAAGGACACGCCCCACCGCTCAATTCGCCATTGCTGGTTGGCGGCTACCGGCCCCACATTGGCATACAGGTGAGGCTCCTCGCGAAACTCTGAGGCCCTGCAGTCCTCAACGCACCAGCTTCGGGCCGGGCCATCGTCTCGGCGCGACCTTCTATAATCCGGAGGATACCCGGGACTGCTACTCTCCAACTCCTGGAAATCTAGCAGCCTCCTCGGCGGTTTGGGTGGCACCCTCGGCGGAGGTAGCCTGGAACCGTCCATGCCGGCGACCCGTGTGCTATTCGGCACCGCACCTTGCGGGGCTTGACCAGGGATTCCTGCGGTGATCTTTGAATCCGGACGCCTTCGCTCATCCGGCATGCTCTCCAGGGGAAGCTGAGGCCGCTGAGCAGCAGGCCTTAACACCTCGTTCATCAGCTTCATCATTTCCAGGAAGCCACTTTGGATCTCGTCCCTCAGTGACTGATTGATCCCGCCTTCTTGGGCCTTCCGATGGGTCTCCGCCTGTGCCAAAGCCACATTAACGGCCGACCTTGCCGCGGAATCCACAAAAGGATCGTGGAGTCTTGCGTCCTTATCGTCCAGCTGCAACAACTCATCCGCCGCGGAACCAATTCCCTCCAGGTCCTGCTGCAGTCCGGTGTCCTGTGGTCTTTTTTGCTTTTGTTGCAGTCCCTGGCGCAAACGGGCAAGCGGAGTCCTAGCCAACCCTTCCGATATGCGCGGCAAGCCACCCTCGGTAGCGCTCTCCACATCCGTGGACCACATATTTTCGTCGTCCTCGCCTGGAAAACCCTTCGACCGAAGCAGGTGATCATGCTTGCTGCCTTGTCGCTTTGACATCCTGAATTTTGGTAACTTCCGAAACCCGGATTCAATGTGACAACCAAAAACGCAAATTATGTATAAATAAATAAATTATGCTGAATAATAATGATATAATAAATAAATACCACTAAATAATCTGCACCTAAATAACAGGCATACTTATATTACCAGGCCAATAAATTATAATCATTCAAGTCGCGGTGGCCGAGCAGCGCGTGAGGACGTCACGGGTCACGACCACACATTTAAGTTTGAAACCGATATGATATGAACAGCAATTACCAAGAAAGCCCAAGGATCTGCACAAAACAAACAACAACACTGTAACCCTCAAAACAAAACATTCATTGAAATTACGTTAACAAAAAAAAAAATATGTCCCTAATACCTATATCACAGTTTTATCACAGTTTTTGGTTTAACCTTTCGTGCTTATTGCACGGACGACCTGGGATGCGAATCTTTCGATTTCCTTCGAAGAGGATGTCACCGCCAAATCACAGCTAAACCCTGTGAATTGTGCCTCGGGAGCAATTGTCCTACCTCTAGTGGACACGCCTCCCTTTATCCCTACAAAATTTAAATTTTGCATGTGTGTCATGGGCTGGCTGGAGATATATAGATATGCGAGAAGACGTCGACTCGGCTATCACATATTTTATTTGTTAGATTGGGCGCCATATTGTTACGGAACTGCATCTTTCCCGGAGGGCAGCGCCGACTAGCCACGGAGTCCCAGGGCGGAGTACCCCCTATGCCCTGCAGTCCGAACAATCGATTCCGACTCATCGGACGTCTCACAACACTAGCCTGGAGATTTACCATCTCTTTTACAAATCAAAACAAATCAAAGTTATATTAGTTAGTTAACTAAAGCAAAACTCTGACCTACAGCAAAGTCGCTCGCCATTTTCCCTCCCGCTCTCTCAAGATGGGTCAGCGAACATATTCAAGGCTATTTAACCCAGTTAACGAGCGAACCGGGCTAAATTTAAATAGCTAGATCCTCTCCCGCTATCAATAGTCGGTGTCACCACCGAATCTTATCGATAGTGGGACCTGCTGACGTATCGGTTCGTTTTTGTATTTTCCAGACGGCTTCAACTGAAAATGCAACACATAAGATCCACAACCTCGAAGGCAGTCGACAATACGGCCAACGTGGTAAACAACGTCGAAATTGTAAATCACAAGGAGGACATCACTAAAGTCTACAATGTTTGGTGCTTCACTACTGGACTCTTCATTCTTACTTTGCTTCTGAGTTTACTCCGGATGTACAAGCGATCTGTGCAGATTCGTCGGGACCACGGACACGAACTGGAGAAAATCGTAGCTGTCACTACCAAATGGCCAGAAAGGAGCCAGCCATAAAATATCAATCCGTGCACAACTAACTTATACTTCATAACTAATTATTTAAATTTTGTCAATATATGACTTGTGTGAACAATCAACAACGTCTAACAATAATAAATGAACAATTAAATGCAAGCAAAAGACCAAAGTTTTTGTATGTTATTGGTTAGAAGCGCCACCGTCAAACATCGCGAGTGCCGTTTTCACTCTTCTCTTCCCGCAATTTGTAACGCAATAAAGCGAATACTATTTTTTTTGTTTGTGAAAAATTACCAAAATTGACCAATTCCAAACAATTTCATATAACATAATTTTTATACACTTGCAGAGGGTATTTGCAACGCAGTGAACATCTCCGACCCTATAAAGTATATATATTCTTGATCGTCCGTTTCTACGCAAACAAGTCTCTTAGTTTTAAAGCTATCTGCATGAAACCTTCACAAAAGTTGTCTTTCTATTGCCTGTAGTATATAAGTCGGAACGAGCCGGATCGGAATACTATAGCATATAGCTCCCATAAAATCAATCGGAAAAAAAAATTTAAAAAAATTTTAAATTTGCTGTTTTTAAATTTTTTTTTTAGTTTTGCGACATAGTAGTGGTTTATTATTTCAGAACTACGGTTTAAATTTCATTAAAATCTGACGACTATATTATATAGTTCCCATGGAAACAATAAAAATATTAATTTTTTTTTTAATTTAACTTTTTTATTTTGTAATTTTTTTAGAAATTCTTTTTAACAAATTAATAATATGACAGTTCAGAATTACGCTTTTTATTTTGAATACGATATCATAAGCTGCCATAGGAAATATCAAATAATTAAGCTGCAAATCATCATAGCTTCAACATACACGCAAGTAAATCATAATTTTAACGTTTTCAAGAATATTGTTTTTGCAATAGGTGCTAGGGTATATGAACTTCGGCTTGCCGAAGTTTGCTTCCTTTCTTGTTTTATATAAATTAATTCAACTATTTATCAACAGTGTTAAGTGAATTTGCACTTATATATATATATATATATTTATGCATATGTGTATAATTAATTTTCCGAACCTAGAATACCACAATGAGGGCTCTCGTCGATGGAAATTAAATAAGGTAATTGCGTTGCGTTCGACTTACTGTCGGTTTGTGAAATATAGGTTTAGTTTCCTCAGAAACTCTAAGTTTAACTGGGTTTCCTCCGAAAAAACTGAACAAAACTCGTTTTCAACTTGATCAATCACTGCTCTTTATGGCATTAATTTGAAACAACTCTAAATTAAATGCTCGTAAAAAGGATCTTCCATGTAGAGGCATGTTTTTATATTTAGTCACAACAAAAATAGAATTTGCACAGGTATCTTTGAACTTTATTTGTGCAACGAACTCACCCAGAATCCTTATCGGGCCACCATTATAATTTACATATGGTGTTTTGCACGATTTTAACTTGGACGTTTTCATTTTTCGAAATAGATCTACAGGGATCCGGTTACAAAATGCATCAGTGTCACAAGCGGCTCAAATTTGATGTTAAGTGTGTACGCTTCCTCTGAGCCTTTACCTACAATACTGAAAATGCTATTATTATAAATGTCGTTATGACTACTCAGGTGGCTTGGAGCACATACAAAGTTTATATTGTGTGATTTTCGTTACTTGCATACAGTTGCAAGATGTCCAATTTTGCCATATTTATGGCACGTACGGTCTTTGTATTTCCACTCGTGCTCCATTGTGCTCGCCTTGGTCGCCAGCTTAGTCTCGTACATTAACGCCTTTTTTAGTGCCAAGTCTAAGGGTATGCTCCCGTCGTCCTCACAAAATCTTTCTGTTGTCTTTGGTTAGAAGCGTTCTCGGTGAGTGCTTGGTACAGACTGGCTTTATTCAGAGCTCAACGAGAGAATGAACAAAAGTAACGTGTGTGTGTATACTTGTGTGTGCTTATAGAATGATGGAATACAGATTAGTTTTGGATGTGCGATGTAGCGAGAATACATTTTGCTTATACATAACACATCTCCTCCTTTAATTAAGAACTATTTATATGCTTAGTTTTTCTGAAGTCCTTTGGCTTAAAACGATCGACTTCCTGGCGAACACGGCTGCTTTGGCGTACTGGTATGCCTGAAAGACGTCGTGTAGATTGGTTCTGCCTCGGCTGCTGGGTAGGCTCTGCTGCGCGTTCAGGAGGACGAGAAACAGGAACAGGATCAGATTGCTGAACAACTGGCGGAGTTAGCGGTCGATCTTGCTGCTGTATTTCTTGATTGAAGGATGACTTTGGCAGTTCAGGAATCCACCAAAACTCTGGAGGTCTCTTGATTGAGTTGTTTGCTGACAACTTCGGTTTTAGCTGGTTGAAATGGCGCTTGATGTAACCATTTGACGTGCGAACAATGAACAGCATTTTTCCAACTGGACGGTCGATAATGCCTTCAATCCACTTTTCTCCCCTTGAATAGTTTCGAGCGTATACCATTTGATTAGAGATGTACTTGGTGATTGTCCGTTTATTCTCGACAGGCTGCTCGATAAGTTGACTAAGCACGGTGCGGACTGTTCGACCGTGGATTAACTCGGCAGGAGTTTTACCTTGGGCGTTTGGAGTGAACCTGTAAAAAGAAAGATATTTTGTTACAGCTTCCTTAAGTGGTATACCGTCTTTGAGGTTCTTCTTGACTGCGAATTTAAATGTCTGTACAAATCGCTCTGCTAATCCGTTGGATGCTGGATGAAACGGTGCTGTGATAATATGCTCTATACCGTGCAGTTTGCAGAATTCTTCGAAGGCGTCAGATGTAAGCTGAGGACCGTTGTCGCTAACCATGGTTTTCGGGTATCCTTCGATGGCGAAAATCGAAGAAAGTGCAGCGATCTTGTTGGCAGTTGTTGTAGACGACATTTGGATGAAAAATGGGAACTGTGAGTACGCGTCCACGCATATGAGCCACATAGCGTCAAAGATTGGACCGGCGAAGTCGATATGAATTCGCTCCCATGCTGTTGTTGCTGCTGGCCAACTTTGGTACTCTCTTGGTGGTGCAGGATTGTTGCACTTGCAGATGCTACAAGACTGAGCAAGGCTTTTGATGTCATCGTCTATGGTAGGCCACCAAACATGTTGTCTTGCCAACTGCTTCATTCGAATAATGCCCCAAAGGCCTTCATGTAAGAGTTTTAGGATATGGGCACGTAGACTGGCTGGAATTATAATACGATTTGCGTCTGTGTGTAGGCAAAGCATTTGTTTGTTAATTGTAAGAGCAAACTTCCGGTTAAAGTTAGGCAATAGGGCTTCGTTGCCTGGCTGGAGTTTTTCTGGCCATCCTATAGATACGTACTGCAGGACCTGTTTGAGAACTTTGTTTTTGTCCATGTGGTTGCGAATTTGCTCGGAATTTATCGGTGGTGATACTTCGACTTCATTGTGGCAAGCTTCCTCTTCTTTGTCGAAGTCTGGATCTGTACCCACTGGGAGGCGTGAGAGAGCATCTGCATTACCCTGAGCAGATGTGGATCGATACTGGATATCGAAGTTGTAGGCCATGAGAATAATAGCCCAACGTTGTAGCCTGTTTGACGTCATCAACGGAAGATGCTTGCCTGGATTAAAAATGGTAACAAGCTGCTTGTGGTCTGTGATTAGGATAAACTTTCTGCCATAAAGGTATTGATGAAAACGTTTTACTCCAAATATTATGGAAAGTCCTTCCTTTTCGCTTTGGCTGTATTTAACCTGATGCTTGTCGAGCGTTTTAGATGCGAAAACAATGGGTCTCTCTCCGCCAACTGGCTGAAGATGCGAAAGGACTACCCCGATGCCAAAGGATGAGGCATATGTAGCGAGCACTAGCGGTAATTTTTCATCAAAGTGAGCTAGCTGCGTTGCGTTAATGATGTGGGACTTAAGAACTGTAAAAGCCTGCTGCTGTTGTGGGTCAAAAAAGAAGGCTACGTCTTTTCTGCGAAGTTGATTCAATGGAGCAGCCAACTGCGAATAGTTCGGAATAAAATTACAATAATAATTAACTTTACCCATGAATGCTTCCAATTGTTGTAAGTTAGAAGGCGGACACAACAGTTTTACAGCCTCCAAGCCTGAGCTGTCTGGGAGAATGCCGTTTGCGCTGATTCTTCGCCCTAAGTATTCTATTTCTTCCTTGAAAAAGAAGCATTTTTGCCGTTTGCATCTGATGTCGTTCTCTTGGTGCCTGGTGCGCTTGCAATCCCGTAAGGAAGACGCTGATATTGAAAAAGGCCCAGTGGTGTGCTTACCACCATGATTTCCTTCGAAGCCTCATCTAATTCCATCTGGAGATAGGCATCCTTGAGGTCTATCGTGCTGAACTGCTTACCATGATGTGAAATAAAGCTTCGTTTGTTGGTAACGGATACTGTTCGACGTCGATTTGTGCGTTGACTGCCTGTTTAAAATCGCCACAAATACGAATATGAATTTTACTGAATTTTACTGAATTTTACTGGTTTCCAAATTCCGGCTTGTGTGAGTCTGTCTGCTTCGGCTTTAAATTTGTCCATTTGAGCGAACGGAATTTGGCGGCATTTATAAAACTTTGGTGTCGCTGAAGATTTTAAAAATACGCTGGCTTTGAAGTCTTTAATGACACCCATGGCTGGTTCAAACACTTTGCTGTACTTGTTGCAGGGGTCACTTACTTTGTCATTATGTACCTCAAAAATGTTTGATACTTGCATGATATCAAATCCGAAAACATTAAATAAATCCATGCCGAAGAGATTAGTAGAACTTTCTATATTTACCACGATTATGACCACTTGTTTCTCTTTCTCTCCGCACTTTGCGAAAGTGTGCAGCTCCCCTAGTATTGGTATTGGAGTATGTCCAAACGCATGTAAAACTCGGGAACACTTATGCAATTTCGGCTTCTGCAGCAAGGCGTATGTATTGGAGTTTATCACGGATGCTGTTGCTCCGGAATCCATTTGAAATGAGATAACTTGTTTTAATATTTTGTAGTCAGTAACTTTTCTGTTTTGTTGACATTTACTTGACCTGTGACACTGTAAACTGCTTCGATCACTTCGACTTCGTTTGCTTCGTTCTTATTGGACTTTACTTCCCGGTTATTTACTTGACCCGGCCATTTGACATTTGACTTGACATACTTTGACATACAGACGACTGCTATATGACCTTTCCTACCGCACTGGTGACATACGTCGATTCTGAACTTACATTTTTCTCTCTGGTGAGTTTGACCACAACCAGAGCAAGATTTAAGATCACCTTTAAACGATCTGGCATCATTTCCACTGCTTGCTGGCTTTTTTTGTGTATGAGTGGATCGCATTGATTGGATCCTGTTTGTATACGTTCTCTTTTAGCGTTGCAACGGTTTTTGTTGTTGTCTCATAGGTTTCTGCAACTATGAGAACATCTTCAAGAGTTGGCTGTGACTTTTGAAGAGCAGATGCCCGGACTGCATCATACGGAGTATGTACTATGATCTGATCTCGTATCATCTCATCTACATAATTTGATAAACAACCGTTTGCGTTGCACACAAATTGGCATTCACGAGCGATCCCGCGCAAGTCGGCTACCCACTCTCTATGTGTTTGTGAATGCTTCATCTCTCGTTTGAAAAACTCGTAGCGAGCTGCTACAATATGGCGTTTTGTGGTGAAATGCTCCGTTAGCTTGTCTGTGAGCTGCTTGTATGTATAAGTGACGTATTACCAAATACTCCAGACATCAAGCCTAACACCCAGCCTGTATATCCCGAGATACCCATTACTTCAATTGTCAAACATAACACCCAACCTGTATATCCCGAGATACCCATTAATTCATTTGTCAAACATAACATTTCAGAGCCTACTATAGGAGTTATTCAAATTAATCAGACGTAAACATTTCCCGTTAGACATAAACATTTCCCACGCATGTTATCAGCAGTCCCCTTATTATAAACATTTCGCACGCCTTTACAAACAAGAGGTAAACTTTTAAACAAAGGGTCCAGCATGAGAACCCATTCATCAGCATAGAAGCTTTGACCAATCCAAATTTAATAAACAAAAGATGCAGCCTGACAACCCACCCATCAGGCCACCAATTCGACCAATCGAAATCTTCTGATCGAAGTCCACTTTCGCTGCTAGCGTCGCTGTCACCGATAAAAGCCATAGTTATAAGAATAATGCAATTGTAAAGACAGTTCAATTTTGGGAATCTAACTATAAAGACATTACCAATAAAACTCCACTGTATATTAAAATAAAAATCGCTTTTTTTAATATATAGCACAGTGAAAAATCTAATTGGCGCAGCCGGTAGGACACAAGTAATATCCTCGGGAGTGACTACCTAAAAAGGACTTCAAAAAATCACTTCGTGAAAATAAATTTATTTGTATCCGCAAAACGAACTTACTTAAAATTTTGGGAAAATAAAACAACAACATTAGTCAAATCACGAATGAGGATTTCTAATGTCTAAATTCAGCGATAATAAATCTAATAACTGATATATTTCGTGTAAGGAAAATTTATTTAAAAAATTAAAAAAAAAAAAAATTTTAATAAACTGTAAAAATGGAAATGCCATCAACATCAACAGCAGCCGCAGCCACAGCCGCAAAAGCAACCCAAATTCTTACAGACGTGGCCATGAACCATTTTCTTCTGCAACTTAAGCAGATAAACAAATTTAATGGAGACCCACTCTACTTGGCTCTCTTCATAAAGGAAGTTGACGAACTAGTTTACCATTATCCGACAACATCAGAAGCCCAACATCAAATTATACAAGCAGCCATCCGAAACCTTCTAATAGGACGAGCCCGAACATTGTTGATGAGAAATATACCACAGGACTGGAAGGAATTAAGGACTTTACTTATCAGCGAATACAACAGCGCAACACCTCCACATCGGATGATTATGGAATTACGTGAGACTAAATATAAAAATAATTTACGTAGATTTGTCGAAGAATTAGAAGAACAAACAAGTAGAATATGTTGTAAACTCAGCTTAGATAACAATCCATCAAACACGGTTTTAGTTTCAAGAACTTTGAATGATACATTAGCTGAAGTGATTCGTGAAAAATTGCCAGTTCAAACATATATTACGTTGAGAAAATTCTAATTCTCTATTCTCATTCTCTAATGATGACGACGAATATCCATACTTTAGATCAGCAAGAAACTTCAACCCAAATAAGCAGTCAGATAATAGTCAAAGAGAAAGAATCCAAAATATTAACTACCAAAATCGATATAACAACAATCAACAGAGACAGAACAAGTTCGACTCAAATAGGAACTGGGGTAATAATAGCAGTTATAATAATAATTCCTCTGGCAATCAATATTATCCTAGATCTTTTCAAAATAATCAAGTACAAAATGCCCAGACTACTCAAAGTACTAATATTCCCCAAAAACGTGCCCGAACCTCAGACTCAGGTCAACAACGTAGAACTGAGCCAATGGACACAAGTGAAAATTTTCAGACAATAGCCTCGGAAGAAACACCACTGCAATAAAAATTAAAATTGATAACAAACCATGCCTCTGTCTTATTGACACAGGCTCAAGCATAAATTTGATAAACGAAAACTTTTTGAAATAACCAACTAAAAATATTTTGACAAAAGTCCAAACGATAGGAGTATCTGTAACTTTAGAAAAATATATCGAATTTAGCATCCCAAAATTATTTTCATCCAAGCAAACATTTTTTTTTAAAAACTTTTCAAATCATTATGATATTCTTAAAGGAAGAAAAATTCTAAAAGAAACCTCAGCCAAAATTGATTTCATGAGAAACACTATTATTCTAAATAATTACGAATTCCCAATGATAAATATAACAGAGGAACGTAATAAAACTTTTTCAAGTATAACAAACGATGACGAATATATTTATGCCATGCAAACAGACTTAACAAATAATTATTTAAGAGACGATCACTTAAATAATGAAGAAAAAACTGAACTTCATTGTCGCGAAGGTGACAATTTGACTTTCACGAACGAAATCAAACACATAATAAAAACAAAAAATGAAGAACCGATTTATAGGAGACCATATAGTTATCCGTACATTTATGACACAGAAGTAGAAAAACAAATTGAGGAAATGATAAATCAAGGTATTATCAGAAAATCAAAATCTCCTTATTGTAGTCCTATTGTAATGGTACCAAAGAAAAAGGATGCATCGGGCATTCCCAAATTTCGTATGGCCATTGATTACAGAGGACTCAATGAAATAACCATAAATGACAAATTTCCTATTCTAAACATGGATGAAATTTTAGATAAATTAGATAAATGCCAATACTTTACAACATTAGACCTAGCTAAAGGATTCCATCAAATTGAAATGGACCCAGGATCTATACAAAAAACTGCATTTTCCACCAAGAAAGGTCAATATGAGTATACTAGGATGCCATTTGGTCTAAAAAATGCCCCCGCGACATTTCAGCGTTGCATGAATAATATTTTATACGACATAATAGGTACCCATTGTCTTGTGTATTTGGACGAT